ACACAGGGGACGGGGAGTACACAGGGGACGGGGAGTACACAGGGGACTTTGGAGGCCTCTCGGCCCCTTTGCACCCACCTTGCTAGGGAACTGCTGTATGACCTGGGGGATGTACTGTGTCTCTGACGGCTTCTTCTGCAGAGAAACCACCACGAAGAGCTCAAAAAGCTGCTGCTCCTGCAGCTCAATCAGATCCCGCTCCAAGGTCTGGTAGTGGGGGTTCCTCTTGGAGGACTGCTGCAGCTGTGCCAAGCGCTTGTGGCGATCTGTAACAAGGTCACACTGTCAGAGGCCCTGTGCCCTTGTCCTATCCCTAGCCCCACAAGTCATGGCCCTTACAGGGAGAATCCTTTGTGGTCACTTGTTGGATGAGCAGATAAATGTCTTCTACACAAATATCCCTGTTTGGGCTACAGTATGGGAGAGGACATGCTCAGCAGTCCTATTCCATCTCTACCACGCACTGGGACTCACATCCATGTCCCCACTGATGTAGCATACATCTGTAGCGCACAGTCTATGTATGCAGTATATATCCCTCATGGCAGAGCACCAGGACACACGCGAAATGCCTAGGAAAAAATACTAGAGTAACAATAGATGACTTTCTGGTAATGCGGTGAAAGCACGAAAGAGAGAAGGATTTAAGAGGACCAAGTCCTACACAGAGACTAAGTACAGGCAGGGCAAATCAAAACCAAAGTCAACCTTTCATTATAGAACCCATCCTTTCCCTTTCTTCCTTGGCACACATGACTAATAAGAGGTGTGGCTTTTATCAATGACAGTTTTTCAAGAAAGACACATGACGGCTGGAGAGATGACTCAGTGGTTAAGAGCATATACTCTTCTTCCTGAGGACCTGAGTTTGGTTCCCATGTCAGATGATCCAGGGGACCTGTCACCTCTGGCCTCTGCAGGACCATACTCACATGCACATTGATAGACATAGTAAAAATAATAAAAACAAGTCTAAAATGATTTTTAAAAACTAAACATACAGACCTCTGGAATAGAAGGTGTAGCAATAAAGCCAGAAGCTGCAACTACCTGATTTTTGACAAAGGAACTAAACACACGCCAGGGAAAGAAGAAGCCTCTTTAACAAGGGATGCTGGGAAAACTTGTAGGATATCCATCCTATAAGAGAGTTTGAAACTAGACCCTACCACTCCATAAAAACCAACTCATATAGATCAAAGACCGTAATGTAAAACTAAGTCTGCCTGGGGAGTGGTGGTGCAGGCCTTTAATCCCAGCACTTGGGAGGAGAGGCAGGCAGATTTCTGAGTTTGAGGCTAGCCTGGTCTACAGAGCAAAACCAAAACTGAAGGACAGTCTGAGCTACACAGAGAAAGCCTGTTTGAGAAAAATAAAAACAAAGTCTGAGCCTGCTAGACAAAGACATGGGAGAAACACCCCATGACACACACAATGACTTTTGAATAGAATACAGATAGCTCAGAAGTAAGAGCAAGAATGGATAAAGGGACTGAAAGACATTAGAAAGCTTCTGAGGAGCAAATGGAAAAGTGGAGAGAGAGGTAGGAACAGGAACAGCCTCTGCTGCATACCCATCTGACAAAAGAGTGATATCTAGAACACAGGAAAACAGAATAGACAACAGCTCAATCGGTAAGCAGGCAACAGATGGAACAGACACTTTTCAGGCCAAGAAATATGTGTGGCAAAAGTATGTGAAAGAATGTTCAACATCAGAAGAACACAGACCACAATCACACTGAGACTGTTATCCCCTCCACCAGATACGAGACTTTTGCCACTGAATATGGTACACTGTGGATCAAATATTAAGATCTCTTTAAACATACAACCAGGAATGGCTCCCTAGAACTACCCAGTTTACTGGATATTCTAGGAAACAGTGTGCTGATCCTCCCCAAAGGGCTGCGTTCAAGTCAAGACACATTTGCTCCTGCTTCTCATTAGCAACTGCAATAAATTAGTCATCTTCCACATCAATGCTGAACCCCGTGATGCTTCGAGTTTCATCTTTAGTCAGACTACAAAATCTAAAAGCTGCAGCAGCTTAGGCCAGCTGTTACTCATGAGATCAGGGTGTCAGGCCTGGCTCAGCTTTGATACCTTGTGACTCTGCTCTTTGTGGTGCTATGCGTCAGCCAGTTAAACAAGAAACAAAATGAAACCTGCTATGACAATTCATCTCATGAAGACGCAGAGCACATTAAGTGTTTGTACAAGCAAGAGCCAGCCAGGCATGCAAGGATTCTGTACCCAAGAGGAGCCGAGTAACCTGGAACAGAAGTAGCGATATGTAAATATCTATTTCCTTTCTTTAAGACAGAGATGGAAAATTCACTTAATTGTGCTTGAGTTACTGGAGAGCCGTGTCAGGCTAAGGGCTTGCCGATGAGGATCATTCACACACTCTTCTGGCATGTGCACACGCCCGGGCATGTGGTGCAGGCCTGCTTTCTCCAGGACTCATCCTCAGAACCTCCTGGTTTACCTCACTCCACTAGGGGAGATTTGTCATGTTGTCAAACAGCTGAATGTACTGTTTAGCTCCGCAAATCTCAACAGGGTCTGAGAATGAAGCAATGGCCTACAACGTGAACTTCACATGGGGAAAAACACTCTTAATCACAAAGGCAGGCGCTGCTCCGCCCGCAGCCAGGTTCATGGAAGGGAGCAGCTTGCTGACTCACTCTTTGGCAGGTACTCAGCATCGCTCTCGTTCCCACTGGTTTCACCTGGAAAAAGGGAAGAGAGGAGGGTTTGTATTGTCTCCTAGTGGGAAGCACAAGAGGTTGAAGACAATTCGAAACTGCCATTGTCTGGGCCCTGAGAGTTAGCAAAGGTCAAACTAGCTGAGCTGTTGAAAGAGAACATGGGATGTGAAACACAGTACTGAATCCTACATACATGATGGGGTTTTTGCTTTAAGTGTGAGTGTGTGAGATGATTTATAAATTAAACAGAGTAAGAAATTAGTAACTTATGTCAAAATACAGCAGTAATAATACAACACACATGAGAGTTCTGTGACTGTGTCTCTTTCCTGATACTTTCACATTGTACTTGGGTGATTCTGGACTGATGGGTTTGTCCTGACATGAAGTGAGGGGATGGAGAAGGCTCTGTGTGTGATGCAGCAGGCAGCGACCAAAGGGAGGCTTGAGCAGAAGCGCTGTGACTCAGGGAAGCTGTCTGAGTGGCTACTGACAGGTGGGCGGCACACAAGAGAAAGCTACACAGAGGCCTGACTCAGATCCTGAGCCAGAACCAGGGCAGATGGCAACTCCACCATGCTACTTACAACAGTGCTTAAGCTAAAGCTTGGCATGGTCTGAGGAGAGGGGCTGCACTCTTCACTAGGGTGTGTGTGTGTGTGTGTGTGTGTGTGTACAAACAATTGAATGTAGGGGCTTTGCACCTTGGTACCAATAAAGTATTCTATATCATAATTCTAAAAATATAATTGGCCAAAAGATGAAAAATGAAAAAACGTTTTTAAAAATGGCAAGGGACTCAGGAAGAGCACGACCCTTACGTAGAGTGTGTGTGGCTAGATCCCAAAGGGGACTTTAAATAAGTAAATTAAAACACTTCACTGGGTATAAAGGTTCATGCCCTTGATCCCAGCACTTGGGAGACAGGCAGGTAAATCTCTGTGAATTCCAGGCCAGCCTAGTCTACACTAAGACTTCCAGGCTAGGCAAGGAACTCTTAATTATGTATAGTAAGGCTCTTTCACAAAAAAAAGAAAAAGGCTAGTGAGCTAAATCCCAGGATCACGTGGATAACATTTGCTCTCAATTGTCCTCTAACCTCCAAATTCACATCACAGCATCAGCACACCGCCCACCCACAACGCAATGAACAAGTGAGACGCCATACAGCCGTTTTAGAAAATTCTACATTAAGTCTAAAAAAAACAAAAATCAAACTAGAAACTGCAAAAGAAAAGAAAAATCCTTAAATGTATCAGGAAAATCAGAGCCTAACATTCATAAATTTAAAATGTGTAAATTTGATTATATAACATTTTGAAATTCAGTCATGCCTGGTGGCCACCCCTGTAACCTAGTACATGAGAGGCTGACACAGAACATCAGGGTTTTAATGTGAGCTTCAGCTATACAGAGTGAGTTCTAAGACAACCTGGCTACATGACCAGTTTCAAAAACAAGAGGAAAAAAAATGAAATTTTCTAGCTAATAAGAAACAAAAAAGCTCAGTAGTAAATTCAAAAACTGAAAAATAAATTGGAAAAAGAAGTCTATTTACTGAAGACACAAGAACTTCTTCCTTCCTTCTTCCTTCCTTTCCTTTCTCTATTTCAGTTCCATGTTTTTTTTTTTTTTTTGTGCTTTTAAAGACAAGTTCTCATTCTACAGCCCAGGCTAACATGGAACTTTATTATATAGCACAACCTAGACTCAAACTTGGGGCAATCCTTCTGCTTCAGCCTTCCAAATGCTGGGATTGAAGACATGGGACACCATACTCAGCAGCTTAAAGCTAAATTCCTTTCTTTTGTTTTTTTTTTTTTTTTTTGAGCCAAGGTATCTTTGTTCACTATGTAGACCACTCTGGCCTCAAACTCACAGAGATCTGCCTGGCTCTGCCTTTCCAGTGCTGGGATTAAAGGCATGTGCCATCCTGTCTGGCTCAAAGCTAAGATTCCTAAGATTCAAATAGCTATTACAAATCAAATGGGAAAAGGGCACATGGTCTAGGAAGACAGCTCAGTTTATAAAGTTCTTACAGCACAAGCATGAAGACCTGGGTTTCCTCCCCAGAATCCATATAAAAAGCCAGCTACAGCCGGGCGGTGGTGGCGCACGCCTTTAATCCTAGCACTTGGGAGGCAGAGGCAGGAGGATTTCTGAGTTCGAGGCCAGCCTGGTCTATACAGAGTGAGTTCCAGGACAGCCAGGGCTACACAGAGAAACCCTGTCTCGAAAAAACCAAAAAAAAAAAAAAAAAAAGCCAGCTACAGTGGTAAGTGCCTATCATCCCACTATTGGGACTCACTAGCCAACCAGCACAGCCTACACAGTAAGCACCAGGACAGTCAGAACCTGTCTCAAAAAATGAGGTAGGCTGGACCAGCTAAGACTGGTCTCTGGACAATATGTGCACAAATGTTCACACACACACACCATGAACATCCACATATGTACATGCATACACATAGGAAAAAGATCACGGGGCTGGAGAGATGGCTCAGCGGTTAAGAGCACTGACTGCTCTTCCAGAGGTCCTGAGTTCAAATCCCAGCAACCACATGGTGGCTCACAACCATCCATAATGAGATCGGATGCCCTCTTCTGGTGTGTCCAAAGACAGCTACAGTGTACTCATAATAAAATAAATAAATAAAATCTTAAAAAAAAAAAAAAAAAAAAAAATCACATGGAAGAAAAAATGATAAGTGGTTACGAATAGGCAATTCATAAAACAGATTTATAAACTACTGATAAATATGAAAACTTTCCCAAGTTTATAATGAAAATAAATAAGTTAAAGCAAAAAAATAAGATAATATGTTTTAACCATAACAAAAATTATTTCATTAATCAGCTTGATGAAAACTATGGAAATATTCATGTTGTTTGTAGAAATAGGCTCTTATCAGCCATTTGTGGGACAATAGATATATAAATGTTTTGTTTTAGATTTTTTTAAGACAGAGTCTCACTCTGTAGCTCAGGCTGTTCTAGAACTCAATAGGTAACTCAGGGTAGCCCTGAGTTTGCATAATCCTCCTGCCTCAGTCTCTCAAGTACTAGAATTACAGGTGTGAGCTGTGCTCAGCTGCTAGAATAGTTTTAAATCCACATAGTCTTTGGTCAAGTGAGAGTACTACAAGAAACTCAGTTTACAAATACAGCACACTAAGTAAGCACAAGAATGAACACTGCAGTATTAGTGTGTGTGTGTGTGTGTGTCTTTACAGACAGTTTATCTCCATAGGTTAATTATGTTAGAAACATCAAAAATGTCTACCACTTAGATTTTTACAAATTGAGGTGCTGAGGACAGAAGGAGGGTCTCAGTGAACAGCTCAACCGTCCACAATGAGACGTCCAGTTCTATACTAGGAAGTACAGTAGACCTTTCAGAGTCTCTGTGTTGATACAGAGGTATATTAATTAAGTCTTTTAAAAAGAAAAGCACAGAATAAAAGTCTAAATAACATACAACCACTTAAACAGAAAAAGTCGCCAGGGGCTGAGGAGATGGCTCAGTGGTTATAAACACTTCTTGCCCTTCTAAAGGATCTGAGTTTGGTTTGGTTCCAAGTACCCATGTCAGGTGACTCACAACCACCTGTAACTCCAGCTCCAGCAGAGCTTACACCCACTTTGGTCTCCTTGGGATCGTAAACATATGTGCCGCACACACAGACACATAATTAAAAATAAAGTCTATTTTATTTTGTTGGTTTGAGACAGGGTCTCACTATGTAGCTCTGGCTGTCCTGGAATGCACTAAGTAGACCAGGCTGGCCTAAAATTCACAGAGATCTACCTGCCTCTGCCTGAGATTAAAGGCATACCCTTCCATGTCCAGCTTAAAAATAAAATCTTTACAAAAAGTACTACCCTTAGAATTGAATATTCTTATGAGCTTGTGAAGTTTATAGAAAGAAAATCGAAAGGGGAGAAAGAGCATTTCAAGTGCCAGAGGTCTTGTCAAAGGTCGCTTAAAGGCTTGATGACCTGCAGCCATCACAGAGGGTGTGCATTACAGGGTCAGGGAATGGGGCACAGAGAACCTGCAGGAGTAAGAAAAGCCCTGGGCTGTCTCTCTTTTGATTTCAACACATGTAATTATAACAGCGTTGAAGAAAGGCAGTGTCGTTTTGTAACTGAGACTGGAAGTGAAGAAATGTTCAGTTGGAGGTGAACGTGGCACTCAAGTGCAGAGTGGGCATATACAGTTCTCCAGGTCCATTAGGCGGTGCTGAGACACAGACGAAGACATGAGAAATGAAAAGCAGAGCGCTCTGCTGACAGTAGGAGCTCCTCACACAGACTCACACCTCTCCGGCCTGCTGGAGAGACTGTCACAGAAGCTGGGGAATGCTGAGTCTCTTCAGATTCCATGGGATGTCTAGGGACTGTCAGTCTGGTTTTGGTTTTAGTGCTAGAAGCTGCTGAAGAAATTTTTTTCAATGATATAATTCTTTAAAAAAGCAAAATCTGATCCTCAGGACTTTGTTCTTGGCAGATGTAGTGTACCTGAAGTCCTAGAGGTCACACGCAAGACAGGTTGTTCGAGTCTCAGAGTTTAAGGGCAGCATGGTCAACACAGAGAGACACATCTCAACACATGAAACTTATCTGAAGAGTCAAATTTTACTAAAATCCCATAAGTATAAAAAGATAATCTACAGGTGGTGGTGGAGCACGCCTTTAATCCCAGCACTTGGGAGGCAGAGGCAGGCGGATTTCTGAGTTCGAGGCCAGCCTGGTCTACAAACTGAGTTCCAGGACAGCCAAGACTACACAGAGAAACCTTGTCTCAAAAAACAAAAAACAAAACACAAAACAAAAAAATAAAAAATCATTAAAAAAAAAAGATAATCTACTCAGAATGTTGTATGCTGAAAGCAGTTACCAATTTTAGACTGTTATTAATTTTAATGGCAATCATTTTCGTTTTTAAGTTAAATAAGTTTTAAGTTAAAACATAACATTTTAATTAAATTAAAAGAAATCATTCTGTGTGTGTGAATTTGTAAGACGCAGCACTCAGGTAGCAGTCAAGGATAAGTTTTTGTGAACTATTTCTCTCTTTCTACCTTTCTGTTTTGTTCTTTGAGGACAAGGTCTCTCAGGCTGCCTGTCATTGCACTGTATACTCCAGGCTAGCTCTGACTGCATTGTATACTCCAGCCCAGCTCTGAATGATTGTCCTGTCTCCTCACCTCCCAACTCACTGTCAGACTGCTGGGATTGCAAACTCGCACCACTGCATCCAGCTTCAGCAGGACATGCTGGGACACACCTTTAATCCCAACTCTTGGGAGGCAGAGTCAGGAGGGTTTTTATGAGTTTGGTGCCAGCCTGGTCTACAGAGCCACTCCAGGACAGCTGAGGCTAAGTAGAAACCGTATATTTAATATCCATAAGGCTGACTTACAGCACCCAGCTTTTTACTTATTATGGGAGTTGAAGGAGTCACAAGCAGGCCATTAGGCCATGCTAGCATTTTTACCTTACACTAAGGCATCTCCCTGGGCAGGGATAATGGAGATGTTTTGCAAGCACTCATTCTGGACCCAGTGTCTTTGAATTTTATATAACTTGCAACTTACATTTTACTTCCTTTATCTATAAACAATAATCTCTGTCACAAAAAATTTAGAAAATTAGCAGTATTGCATTAGAAAGAATCTAGCACAGTGTCTTGTCTCAGTTTCCACTTTCTGTATCTAGCTCTGAATTATACTAATGAGAAATCCTTTGGTGCTGCCTTTGCTTGGGATAAGGAAACACAAGAGACAGTGGTCTGGAATTCAGTGTTAATGGAGGCATTGGAGAGAGACTGCCACAGAGGAGAGTAAAATCTCCTGTAGTCATGGTTCTTGACTCAAATCCCCACTTCCTCTCTGGGTCAGCTTCTCTATGACACAAGTAGTGCCTACCTCCTAATGTGCCATTACGGATGGCACAGATGAGATGAAATCTTTTTATTAAACATGTGTTATTGATAATACTAGCCAAAGGTACTTCATGCCCAGAGGAGAATGAGACATGTCTAAATGTTTCCCTTTGCAATAGGACATGGGCTGCAGAGCTGGCTCCCTACTGAAAGCACTTGCCATGCACACGAGAGGCCTGCAGTCTGGATCCCAGAACCCTGTAAATGCCAGAGGGTGGGGACACAGCACCTGTAACAGCCTCAGAGGGCGGAGACAGATCCACACCCGTACAAGCCCCCTCTGCATCAGAGGTCGGGGCTTGATTAAGGGCCCCTGCCTCAAAGAAGTAAGGTAGAGGAATGAGAGAGGGAAGTCATCAATCTCGAGCCTTCACCTGAGTGTGCACCCACACATGTGAACACACATACACACATGCACAGCACACATACCGACACATGAAAAAAAAAAAAGGAAAGACACTGGGAAACACATTAAACATGGTAAGCAGCTCACTGTGTTGTTCTGTATCAAAACCAGTCTTACATGGTAAGAACAGTCTTTGGAACCCGGATGATTTTATTTTTACACAATTAAGTTGTTTTAATGGTGAGTAGATTGTAAGTAGATGTAGGGCATTTCTCTGTAAATCTGTGACAACAAGAAAAACAGTGTCTGTCCTCTGACAGGGCCTTCTCACTTAGAAACTGTATAAGCAGAAACTGAAATTGCTAAGTTCTACATATTTCTGTTAGACAACCAAGCTGAGAGGCTGCTTCATTGTGGCAGTGCTAGGTCCGAATCCCAGGCCACAGGGAGGTGGGCAGGTGCTCAGCAGCCCTCAGAGGGGTTTGTGAGAAACGACACCTTCCTAGAAAGCCCAGGCTGGCCTGGAACACCAATCTTCCTGCCTCATCCTCCCTAGCGGAAGGGTTATAAGTGTGGACCACCACACCCAGCCTTTCTCACATGAGGTTTTATGAAAACACTTATACTTTGCTGTGAATACTGAACGTTTCTGAACTAAGCTATAGTATTTTTCTATTTTTTTTTCTAACCACCTGCATGATAAACTACTAAATTTCAGAGATGTGGTACAAGTTGGGCACTGCATGTCTGCTGGACCATGCTGGTGCATGTCTATACCCAAGCACCCGTGAGGCTGAAGCACAAGGACTCTAAGCTCCCATCCAGCCTGGGCTACAGACCACAATCCTATCTCAAAAAAGGAATAAACAGGGGTGGAGAGATGGCTCGGGGGTTAAGAGCACTGACTGCACTTCCAGAGGTCCTGAGTTCAATTCCCAGCAACCACATGGTGGCTCACAACCATCTGTAATGGGACCTGATGCCCTCTTCTGGTGTGTCTGACAGCTACAGTGTACTCATATAAATAAAATTAAAAAAGAAAAAGGAACAAACAAGAGATCAAAGTGGAATGATAAAATAATTACTCTAAGGGAGAGTAGTCTTATCAATTATAATTGCTTTATTTATTTATTTATTCATTTGCATAATGTTTTTACTTTGAATTAAATAAGGAATTGAATATGGCCCTTGAAGGACTTGGTTTGAGTGTGGTGGCTGCTGTCTGGAATCCCCTAAGCTGGAAGCCTCAAGCAGAAGGCTCATCACAAGCTCATGGCCAGTCTGGGATACATGGTGAGTGCCAGGCTAACTAGAACTCGAGAGTGAGACTCTGTCTAATCAAACACTAAGTTATATAACAATGTTCCCTTCATGTGCTGTAATGGTTTGAATCCAAAATGTCCCCAGAGGCTCATGTTCTGAATGCTTGTGCTGTAGCTGCTGGCAATGTTCTAGAGAGCTTTGAGAACTTTAGGAGGAGGGACCTAACTAATAGTCATAGGCTATAACCCCAGCCCTGGCCTTCTCCCTGCTCAGTTTTCTAGTCTGTGCATGTTCCCGCCCCCATGAGCTGAAATGACTGACAGAGCCCTCTGAAGCCATGAGTCTAAACAAATCTTCCCATCCATAATTGTTCCTGTAGACATGCTGGTCACAGTAGTAGGAAGCTAACACTTACACTGACAGCTACAAACTGAAGAGCAAGCACCATTCTTACCTTTTGAGGAGGGGGCTTCTTTTCCAGTGTAAGGCTGTAACTTTACCCTCTTCTTCCCTCTCTTAGATTCAAACGTATCATTTATTTTCAAAACAAGCTGTCAAAAAAAAAAAAAAAAGCAAGGAAATTACAAGTCAAAGCCACTACCACCAAGGCATTGTGGTATCTGCATGACTGGCATTTAACACATTAAATTCTCCTTTAGAGGAAAGAGCCACTGAGTAATAAAAACCTTCACACATTTTTCAATTTTGGATTAAAATGGTATCATTAGATGATATGTGTTCTCATACCAGTGTCTACAACCCAGGAAAGAAAAGTGCAAAGGCCCCCGTCCTCCCAGATGGACCCAACGCAGCTTCTCGGGGAGATTCTGTGTCACTCCGTGCCACAACATGCAGGGAATGTGGCTACTGCGCTCCCTACCGTGAGTAAGACTGCTCAAGTTCTCACTTGCTGAGAACAGGAAGGGGAACAGTCACACACTGCAGGGTGGGGCTGAGTTATTTCTGCTCTCAGGAGTTTCTCCCAAGAGAAGCTAATCTCGCTCATGGAGCTTTTGTCAAAAGGAGCGCACTCTGCCAGTGTGGGTATAAACGCTGCAGCTAACTTTAGAGCTGTCATAAAAACGGGAGATTCAAATGACTCCACACAGAACTATGTCTCCTCCCACCCCACTCATCAATCTGCGCCTCAAGCAACTGCAACCAGATCATGTAGTTTTAAATTGTTTCATCGAGATGTCGATTTAGTAAGAGATACTCAGAATTATTTCCCAATGCTGGGGAAAAGGTATGTGTATATAAAACAGACAGTCAGACACACAGAGATACAGAGAAATAGAAAAAGGAGCAGAGCCATGACATCAGCAGACATCTAAAACAAGGGGCAAGTAGCTTCTCTGTGCCTACTTTTCTTTTTTGCTAAGGTGCTAAGCTTACATATCCATCCTGAGGTAACACAATGGCAGAGAACTGCTAAGTCCACTGCAGGATGAGTCAACAGAGTCGAGGAGCGAGCTCGCGCATGCTCTTTGTCCATGTCAAAGACAAGACAAGGCAAGACAGTCCACTACAGCAGAAGACGTATGTGCAGACCTTCGCCACATCTGTGGATGAGTTTGTTCTCTTACAGGATTTCTGTAGCTGCCATTCAAGTAAAAAATTGCCAGTGTTTCTCACTGTTGCTTTTACAAAAAAGTAAAGAGGAAAATCCAAAAGAGAAAGATGCCTCTGTGGACTTCAGAGAAGACTTTGGGAGCAAACAAGTTTTAGGTGCAGAGACAACCATGATAGCATAAATATTAAGTGGATTTACAAAGTAGAATCAAAAGTATACCCACATAATTTGAAGGAAACTACTGTTCAAGACACAACCTAAACTTTCAGTTATGAGCCAGGAGTAGGAGCCTACACTTACTCTGCAGCTTCAGCATCACTGCAGAATGCTCTAACAACAGAAAGCAGCTGCTTTGCTCGGCAGCCACAAACACTACAGCATCAGGGAAGCCACTAGCAATCGCACACAGGCCTCCAGAGCAGAAAAAGGAAGGAAGGGTGGGGACCAGGCATATGGACTGGATCTGAAAGCAATTTCCTTTCTAGGAACAGCTGGAGTGGTCAAAGAAGACATAAATGAAAACTGCTTTTCTTATGGAATATTCCTGAAGATGTTCAAAACACCAAAATTTGTATTGCATATGGGACATCCTAAAAGAACTTAAAATATTTTTGTAAGATTTTTCTTCATTATTTTTAAATGTATGTATGCTGTGGTGGACATCCAGCTTTAGCAGGGCATGGTGGTGCATGCCTTCAGTGCCAGCACTCAGGAGGCAGAGGCAGGCAGATCTCTGTGAGTTTGAAGCTAGCTTGGTCTAAAGAACAAGTTCCAGGACAGCCAGGGCTACACAAAGAACAAACAAAAGAACAGCAACAACCAAAACCCTCATCTTCAAAGTGACTTGGAGACCAACCTGTGTGATACATGAGACACCTCCCTCCCTCCCTCTCCCTCTCCCTCTCCCTCTCTCTTTCAGAAAAGGAAGAGTTGAAAGAGGTGATCCTATCACCTGTTGTTGGAAAGCGTCTGGTATAAGACTCAGTAATGCAGAAAGCAGCACCTACCGGAAGCACTGGCAGCACCCAGAGACTCCTCAGAGCTCTCGTGCTTGTCCCTTTGTGATGGAGAGGACTAAGTCCAGGGCCTCACACAAGTGGAACAACAGCTTTAACACGGAGCCACACCCCGGCTCTCTTCTGTCTCCTTTAACCCTACTGCTCACAATCCTCTGAAACAGTTGCTAATGCCATTTCGAGGTCAGAAATCTTAAGCAGAATCCCTTAAGAGTCTACATCCTTGTTTTATGAACACATGATCCACTAGAGTCACATGGAGGGCTCAGTGGGTACCAGAGCCATCCTCCTGAGGAGAGAGCTCCTGCAGGAGGCCTGTCCAAGAGCAAGAGCAGAAACAGACCAGAAAGATTAAATCATGAGACACAAGATTTACCAAGGAACCAATCTGTTCATAGTCACTAACCCAAGAAACAGGTTTGACTTTTGTTTATGTTAAACAAAATGTGTGTATTAAATGAATATAGGACCTAATTCACCTGGCATTATGGAAGGAAAACCACTTCAATCATCTGACTTCATTATGTATATATCTGCTATTCTATTGTGCCAATCCTGAAAATGTCTTCATGTAACCTCCTAAAAGTCTCTCCTAGAAGAAGATACAGCTACAAGTAATCTCATTTTAAAAATATTCTTCTTAGTAACAGTTCCATCAAGATGGTGGAGGGGGCACTTAATGCCTTTCCCCTCCCTGAGGGCAAGCTCATTTACTTCATACGGCTTTTGATAGTCTCTAGGACCAAGTAACAATCTGGTTTCCTTTTTTCCACCTCTGAGTAGACATTTTAATCCTAATAAAAGGCACATATTTCATCATTACTGAAAACCTGTAAACCCTGGCACAAGGCTGCGCTTGGCTCTGGTATGTAAATGAACTGGCATAAAAAGACTCTCCTGTTGTCTGAGAGTCTGGCATTTGCTTGAGATAGATAGCTGATTTCCAACCATAACCAAGGCAACAGAGGCCTTTCCAAGTCTGATTCCAACAGGTAAGTTCTAACCTAGTTCTCAGTTCATCCTAATGTTGTTCACTCCCCTTTATTAAGATGCTGGGGTGAGATCTGAAGACTGAGTGTGCTGGACTCCTCACCCGTGGGAGATTTCTCTTTTTCCTGTTAGCTACTTCTCCAGCTCGGAAAAGTTTCCATTCCGTTAAGGTGACAGGCAAAGTGGTGTCCTTTGTGAACTTTGTTCGAAAATATGCTTGAGAGTTCTTCAGTTCCATAGTCTTCCGCTGAAGGAACTGGGGTTTGGGAGGAAGCTACAAGAGGAGACACACTGGTCAAATAAGATCTTTAGGGAATGCCTACGCTGGCAAACAAACTCAAAGCTCCCCTAGAAAATAAATGCTTATCTTTCCTTTAAACTCACCCCAAATGAGGATCTGCAATTCCTTCCCATCTTAGTAATATAGTTTCTTTGTTTTCTAATCCATTTTTTTTTTTTTGAGACAGGGTTTCTCTGTGTAGCCCTGGCTGTCCTGGAACTCACTCTGTATAGACCAGGCTGGCCTCGAACTCAGAAATCCTCCTGCCTCTGCCTCCCAAGTGCTGGGATTAAAGGCATGTGCCACCACCGCCCAGCTTTTTTCTTTTCATCTTTTTGTTTGTTTGTTTGTTTGTTTTCTAATCCAAAATTCTACCCATGATCAAATTCTCAAGGGATAATAGCTCATCACCTCAACCAACTCCAGCTACGGGTCTGAGCTTCAGAGAGCGAGTGAGTAACTGAGGCCCAGGCTGACAGGAGCTTAACAGGGAGCACTGGGAAACACAGAGAACTGAAAAGTGCCTGGCCCATCTGCAGCCATGGGTTGTTACAATAATGTGACCAAATGGGGGAAGTCATTAAAAAAGAAAAATCAGTAACAGTAAAAGGTTTCCAAACAAACAAAATTCATTTAATCCAGGCCATGAAGAGTCTGCAGTGGTTTTGGCAGTGTTCACCTGTGCTGCCTGGTGACTCTTGGCTCTGAGCACTGAGCATGTGCCCTTTGTACTGTGCATGTTGTCCCATTTTACAATGGCTGCACACACCTAGCTCAGACTCGAGACTACTGCATGTTAGAAATTACAATATTCTCATTTTACATGCTCAGTGTTCTTTCTGCTCTTGCAAACATGATTGTTTAATTACAGAAAGCAAAGAGTTTAATATATTCCTGCTTTTGTGTCTCAGTGTGTGTTGGTAGTGGATTTTATTATGTTAGAATATTTGATTTTAAAATTCCTATTTGAGTCAACAACTTGAGTTTCATAAAAAATATTAAATGATGGGGCTGGAGAAATGCCTCAATGGTTAAGGGTGCTTACTGATGCCAAGAGGACCTGAGTTCAGTTCCCAGCCCCCATGTTTGGGAACTCACAACAGTCTGTACCTTCAGATCCTGCTGCCATCCAAGGACACTGCATTTATGTGCACATACCCATGGACAAATGATAAATACTCATATACATAACAAACAATTTAAACACCATGTAATAAATGTTGGCTTTCGTTTAGGACAGAATTTCCAATTTCTGAAATAGCCACAAACTTCTATCATCCTGTATTACAGCAACAAATATGCAGTAAAGATTTCATCCTTTTTTCAGGGTTGGGATAGAGGCAAGGTTGAGATAGGGTCTCACGATGTAACATTGGCAGGTCTGGAGCTCACTAAGTAGGCCAAGCTGGCCTCAAATGCACAAAGATCCACCTACAATACACCCAGCCAGGATTCAAGTTTTTGCATACCCATTTCATTAGTATGCATATTTGCTTATGCCTTGAATAAATAACAAAATTACATATATAACTGTTATAAAATATATTTCTTTATGATTTATTGTCTAAAAAGGTTTAATCTGTATACCAATTACATACCTATATATCTGTGGTCATGTAAAAATTTCTTGGGTGGATAGGCATGGTGGCACACAACTTTAATCCCAGTACCTCAGTACTCTGGAGAGTACTCTGGAGAGTACTCTGGAGAGTACTCTGGA